GTTTCTGCTAGCTACCTGAGTCCTGACTTTCTCTTACTCCCCCTTTCCATACACCCTCACTCCAGTTCTCCTAGTTCTACCATCTACATTTACTTCCTGAATTTTCTTGTCCGGAAGGAAACTTTTTTTTCGATTTTTTTCTCACAAACTTATTGTTGCCACTAAATCACTTAATTTACCATATTTTTAGTCAATTTAGTCAATTCAACTTCTTGTAAAAATTGAATAATTATCGAACTTATTATGAAAATTAAATTTTTCGTCGTTAGTGTTTTTTTTTAAAAAGAATAGCTGTTTTATTTCCATTAATAAATTGCGAAGCTTTAATAACACTTACTTACTTGTTTACTTGTAGAGTAATCTGCAGAGGGCCTCTTGGTCCATAGCGCAGATGTCAGTTTAGTCCTCACTGATTAAACACAAGAGAGTAGCTAAGTGTTATCCAGCTTATTATAAACCATCCGTATAGCTTTCATATTTACAGCACTACGAGTCCAGTGCTTAGGATCCATTTAGGATCCATTTAATTTTGATGCGGATCCGCACTGGAAAAAAATGGATCCAAATCCGGATCCAGGTCATTTCTATAAGATTTACTGAATCTTTTTAACAAAAAATAATTTTAAAATTTTTTAAAATTTTTTTTCGCATATTTTTATCCTAAAACTTAATGAACCATTCAGAAATGGGGAAATTTTTATAATCTCTTTTTTTTCAAAAGTTCCGATTTTGGGTTTAGGAGTTAAAAAATTTTTTTTGGTAGTTTTTGGTTGATATTTTACCCCTTGGATCCTGATCCGTGGATTCGGATCCAGGAAGCCAAAATCTCGCGGATCCGAATCCTACGCACTGTCTACGACGTAAAATGAATGATTAGAAACTTATAAAATTTCCCACAATAAATTACATAAATTGCGTAGCAGCTTAACTTCAAGGCGGAAATCAATTAATAATTAATTTTTAGCTTATTGTGTTGATTTGATATTTGCAGTACTCTACGCATGAAACTCCGTCCATTCTTCATTGAGCAGCTGCCGTCTAGTTTACGAAGTACACTACTGGAAGAAACAGCTGGATTCCTTGTACAGAAATCCCTGGTGGCAGGTTGGTCAACTAATACGGGGGCAATTATTTTTATTTTTTTCCCATTAAAAATGAAATTGAGAACCTCTTCTCCTCCATCATGTAAGTAATGTTTTGCTGTTTTTTGAACGAAACATTCGAATGAATACCAGTTTGAATTATATTTTCTTCTACTAACTAAAAAATTTGAATACATCTCTACAGGTAAGAAATTAAATGATTTTACCCCAAAATTAACCTACGAAGTTCCCATTTCGGGTTTCCCAAATCATCAAAATAGTAAAATTGAAGATTTGAAACAGAAAACAATAAGTTTCAAAAATATTTGATTATCTAGGGGTAGATTGTGATTATGGTAAATCTATCCTCCATCTTCTTTCCCTTCTCCTGTCCCCTGACGTTAAGAAACTAAAGGTAAGAATACGGGGGTGTATCTTTTCCTAAAAAATAATTTCCCCGAACCCTTTTAGAAAATATGTGAATGCACGGAGCGGCATAAAAAGTTTTTAGGATTTATTTTGCTGAATTAGGGAAATAAATGATTTTTTGGGTAAAAAGTAAAAAAAGAATGAACCCTGATTTTTAATTTTCCATTTTTTATTTTTTTTCGAATTCATTAAAAAATCATTCCCCCCCCCCTCCCCACCTGGGGAAAAATATACACACCTGCAAGATTATCTACTTAGATAATGCTTAGCTCGAAATTAAAATATGTTTTTGCTTCTTGTTGTTTTTCTCTTCATCTTCTTCATGATCTGAACTGTAGTTTATTTGTTAATTTACTGGTTAAAATATCTAAATTTTATTTATTTTCTTCGCAATTTTGATTCAATTTTTAATTTGTGTCTTTTCTAAGGTAACACTTTGTTGCTACTATGGGTGTCGGGATCTTGAAAGTGTGCTCTGCTGCATAAAGAAGAACGGGGTATCCCTGGAACACCTGGAACTGGCCAGGTAGTTATCAATCAACTGGAATGGATCAATCAGTCGAGTTCTACAATTTATCAGTCAATTAGGAATCAATGAGTCAAATAAATCAATACATTTTCAAAATTATTAAAGCTGGAGTGACCGGCTATTTGAACTGAATATGCAACGTTGTGGAAAGCTTCTTTCGAATTCATTTAAGACATATTAAACGTTTTAAAGATCTGTAAATCCAGAGTTTGAGCGCAAATTCGATGTTCAAAACTCCTACTTTGAGGGTGGATACGTTTTCAGAATTAGTTTTTTTTAAATTATTAAATAACGTCGACATAAAATGTAAAAAAGTTCTACAATAAACTTCGGATAGTATAATGCATAAACAAATAAACTACAGACGTCATGTATAGGAACATGTTGAGAAAATAAAAATTAATCTTTTCATCGAAAATAAGTAATCTTGTTCATGTTCAATTATTAGTTTCTATTATCTCATTATTCTGGTTTCTCATTATCCAAAAAGATTTTCGCCGATTTTCTAGAATTATTATTGAAAAGACGACATTTGAAGAATTTGAAGAAATCTGCAAATAAATTCAAAGAAAATTAGAAATTCAATATAATAATGAAAACGAAATAATCGATTTGAGCATTGATTTATTGACAAATTTCTTTTGAGAAATATGTTCCTAACCATCTAATTAGATTACTGTATAATTTTTACTTTATTTTTCGTTGTTGTTATTTAATAATTAAAAAAAAAACTAATTCTGAAAACGTATCCACCCCCAAAGTAGGAGCTTTGAACGTCGAATTTGCGCTTAAACTCAGAATTTACAATCTTTTAAAAGTGAAATATCTCTCAAATGAATCCGAAAGAAGCTTTCCACAACACTGCATACTCAGTTCAACTACCTTACATAGCCGGTCACTCCCTTTAAGAAGTTCAACCATATTAATGAATCCATTAAGCCATCATTTTTTCAGTTAATGAATGAATGAATTATTAAATCAATGAATCAATTTGTCAACTGAATGTTTAGATCGTCTTTGCTACGAATGGATCCCCTACAGTTCAAGAATGTTCTGACGTCTGCGACAAGGTAAATTTTAAAATATATATTTTGTCGTATTTTATATTGTTTCACATATTTTTTTTCAAAATTTATATTTTCAAAAAAAAATTTAATTTTTTTCTTTTTTTCCCTGTTAAGATATTGTGGGCGTAATATCGTTGACCCCCAATTCTTCCTCCTTTTCTCACCTTCTCCCTCCTTCTTCTTTCTCTTTCCGTCTTCTCCTTCCCGAGCTTCTTCTTCCTATTTCTCCCTCCTTATTCCTCGTTCTCCCTCCTTTTCCTCCTTCTTACTCCTTATGCTTCCTTTTCCTTCCCTTTCCCTCCCGAGTTCTCATTCTGCTTCCTTCTCCCTTCTCTTTCCTTTCCCCCCTTGTTTTTTCTCCTCCCTCATTATCCTTCCTGGTCCTTCCTTCCTCCCTGCCTTCTCCCTCGTGGAACGTACGATTGACAAAGGTACCCTGAAAGCTTTGACAGAGAAATTATGAATGAAATATCCTTGAATTCTCTTAGAAAATTGATTATTTTTAAATGTATCTCTAGCTACTGAATCAATAAGGAATTGTTATGTGAATTAAACACCTTTAAACCTAGAAAGCGTCAATATCTTCCCGATTATTGATTAGATAACGTTTAAAAGTGTGCCGCTGTGAATCGGGCATTGACCTAGCCTCCTTAAAAAATGAAGGGTAGTTTGATTTTTAACGCAGTCCTCGTATTGAAAAATAAAGTTCTAGTTTTAATTTATTTTTTCAGACTCCATAGTCTGGTTGTCCGAAACATCTGCAGTGATGCAATGCTGAAGCTTATTGGAGCACACTCACCCACTCTGCAGATTCTTATCATTGCAAATAGTAAACAGGTAAAGCAAGAGAGCAGGGGTGGGAGTATATTTTCTTAAAAAATCATTTCCCCCCTCTTTGAAAATTATTTCTTCCCTCAGATGTTGGTTTTGTATTTTAAAAAGTTGTAATCGCTTAATAAGAGAAATTAAATGAATTTTTGGTTAAAAAGTATGAAAAAGCGTTTATTAAAGTTGCTTTTTGTGTCCTATTTTTCATTTTTTTATTGAGGGGCGTAGCTTTTGAAATATATTCCCTTGGATGAGAACCTAGATATAGGATTTTGTTTCCCACCCTTCATCTCATTTTTATCCGCTGAATTTGGGAAACAAAAGATTTTGAGATGAAAATACACGAATACTGCGAAGGATCAAAAAGGGTAGTGAAAGTTGCATGCTGGTGTTTAATTTCCCCAAAGCAAAGGCATCGAAAATATTGCGGGACTGTGCTGTACCGTTCCCTAACGTGCTGTACCGTACTGCAATGTGTTGTACTCACTAGGTGACTGATCTGGGTGTTGAATCCCTGTGCTGCAGAATAACAGTTTGTGACAGAGGAGACGAGGATGCAAATCAGGTAACATACTATATAGTACAGGGTGTCCCGAAAGAAGACGATTAGTGATTTTTGGAACCCGTTTATTCAGTTGAAAGTCTCAATTTTTCTGGATCAATCATTTTGATTCAAACTCTGCGGCCATATTTACGATTAAATATTTATCCTGAAACTGAAACGCATTGTATCAATGAAGATATTCAAAGCTGTAGGAATAATATGAAGTGCAAGCTTTTTTGGTAATTTCCTAGAGAACGATTTTTGGAATAAAAACTAATTAAATTGAAAATTGATGAAAAAGTTGTCATATACAAATCTTTGAGGGTGGATACGTTTTCAGA